CGCCTTTATACGCTCCGCTAGGTGAAGACGCATGACTTCTCTTACATCAAGCTTAAGCGCCTCCCTGAGTGCAGACCATATCGACTACCATGCCCTATGCAGGTCAATCGAGCGCTCTGTTAGATTTTGTGCCGCAATTCTGCCATTCGTCGCTTCGCCCTCCCGCTATAATAGCCTTGTAAAGTAGTAAGGAGGGAATGTTCACCCCTTCTTTTAAACCATCCCTTAACTTCCTGAGCCTACTCTTCGTAAACAGCCCTCAAAACGGTCTAGGCACCGATATCCCAACTTGTCCTTTCGGCATTGACCCCCAGTTAGTCGCGACGTCACCGACATCATTCGTGACCGTACGTCGAGCGTTAAGGATACTCTCACGTTGTGTACGGGTATTGCTCTGAGAGACGAACTAAACGTTTATGGCGAATGAATCGAATCCACTATCATTGTTTCTTTAATGAAGAGACTATATCTCTATGCTCAGCCAAACCAATTTCATGAATATCTCCAAGCTCAGACTAGAATGTGATGGTACCACACTAATTGTTGCGAATTTTCTTACTGTACAAAATGGTATTTGGAATATTTTATCACGATGCAGGCAAGACAGAGCATGTTAGGAATACAGAATTCTTCTTTGACCCACATGTAAGTTACATATCAATGAAGCAAAGCTACTTAGCGCCCCCTCGTGAGACGCATAGCGCGTCATGATCGTTTCTATTAATTTTCATGAAATTTACCTGGAGAAAACACCTGTAGCGCAAAAAACTGGTACAAATAGCCAAGTGTGTTAAAGATAGAATAAAAGCGTTCAGCGTGAAATAACGAGGCACTTACCCTAAATAAAGTGCGGCTAATTAGAAGAGGACAAACCCCGTGACGCCATTTGAGGTTCTACCACATCAATGTTTACGCATTAAAACGAGTGAAAATTAAATCTACGCGCATCAAGGTTGTAATCCACATAGCGAAGTATCCACTCGTATACCATCCGGCTACTATGTCAGAAATCGAACCAGAGAACGAGGGTCTTTCTCTAGTGTGAGTTATCACACTGGTGACCGCACGCCCTGTGATGCGACAGCAATGGTGAAACCGATCAAGTGCATCGTTAGGCGTCCTATTGTTAGTACCTACCTTGGTGGCAAGAACCCAGCATACTCCTGACCATCAGAATCGTACTTGACCACCCACTAAATTCGAGGAAATCAAGTGGTCGCATGTACTTGAGACTAATTTGGCCTGAAGACTAATCAACCGCAGGCTTCACCATGTGGTGGCAAATACCGAACGCGCGAACTGCGCACACCCTGATCCGACTCTACAAAGCTAAATATCAACAAACGCCTAGCGCCATCTTAGATAGCCCGGTCTCGCGCCGCCCCACCTACAGATAGGTGTGTTGGTGCGAGAGATCCGCTAGAACTATTTTGGGCGTGGGATACGTCTGATTCGACTATCATCTCAGCAGCTGACCATCAACCGTATAGGACATAGAAGAGATGTAAGTCGGACCAGCGACTTGTAGCAGAAGGTCTGTACACGCTCGAATGATATTCGCCATATTTATATAATTCGTGAGAATATCCGTCGGTGTGTCTCATTGACTATAGAGAGTCCCAGTCAATAAAAGTATTGTATCGTCATGCATCGTTACCTAGGCTTTTTCTCGTACAACTATCGTACGTGGGCAGCAGCAGAAACCGTACGGCAGTGGTTCACCTGTACCGTTATATGGAGAATGAGCATGTACACAGGTGGCACATAGTTTAGCCCATCGAACTAAGTTGAAAACGAAAAAATCGTGATAATTCCCTGCAGACACGGGAGAGTATTCCTTAAGAATTGTGCCCAATCGGTTGACGGACGGACAGACCGTGAAAACGTCTGATATAGATGTAGCGACTCGATAACGCACCGCTACAGCTGACATATTTGACGATTACTACCATAGCTGACATCTGATCTATTATGTTACAAGGATGCAGCTATAAACACAATGGGCTAAGATATAGCCATTTGAGACTCTAAAGAAGTTTAAATTATTCACATTGAGTTGTAAATACACAGGTATAACAAGGTGGGTGTGCAGCTACATCTAGCAAATAGCGAGTACCGGAAGTCACAATTACTTCACGCAGATTTAACTAGTCGTGACTACATACCTGAGATTAATGGATGATCAAATATAATTGTCAACTCGCAAGTTAGCGAGTGTAGAACTATCTGAAAAATTTCTGCGTATATTTAATATACACCCATTGAGCATGTCGTTGATCCAGACTGTTTACGGCCTCTCGAGTCGAGTTTACCTATGGACGCCACCTGACGAGCGCATAACTTTCGCAGCCATACACTGCTCCACGGAAGAAAATTTCTAGAACCAGGAGACCGCTGCAAAGCATACAGCATAAGGTCATTCAAATTGAGCACCATAGCGTTTTTATGCGTAGTTTTAATTCCATGTCCATTCATCATAGTTAAATTTTGACCCCTCCTGAGACTAATAGAGGATATCAATTTGCGGAACTGTGTGACTTATCATTCGCATTACGTTATATCTAATAAAAGTACTTATTCTACCCCTCGTAGATATTCGGTAAGTTGTCTAAGTTTGTAAGTAAGCTTCCTCTGTCTGCGTTACGGAAACTTAGATGATTTATCACTCTGGAGGACTGGATATCGAGATCGAAATATTCACATAATGTGAGAGCTATTCATGTCATTTGAGAATTAGGCCGTGGATATTACCAATATATTAGCAGCATTATGATATATTCCACTTCCGGCTATTTTTCCCAACTAATCTATTCGTGACCTATTGATTTGGCCAAATACGAAATGGTTTTTTGCGCACACATAGCAAAAACAGTATTTACTATCAATATTACTAACTTAACTATATATATAAGTATAAGCAAGATACATATACAGAGCTATAACTAGAGAATCTACTACTATATAATAGTACTTTAATACTATCCTCAAGCATATCACTATCAAATCCACGAGCGCCTGATTTAAGATACCACAAAATGAGAATACAACTCACGCCTACTTCTAGTATAAGTATTCTATTGAGCATCATAAAGGTTACAGGATACGCGAAGCGGGATACTCTCGACCAAGTTACCATAACAAGGTTTTAACATTAACGTGTTCCATCGATCTAGACGTCGTGTTTACCATTGTCTTGCAAAGAGCTTTACAGTGTCTTTGGAATGTATATAACGTGCTGAAAGCACTGCTCTACGTGTTCTTGTATAAGAATAGTCCCTTCAATGCAATGCACTGATGTTTTTACGCTGGAAAATTCTAATTGTGCGGCTTGATGTTACATATGTGAGGGACGGCTCTTTTACAGAGTAGGGGTTTGGTTAGCCATCTAAACTCCTCAAATCGTTAATCTTACCTTTCCCTAGGCGGGTTTTATTATTGAGAAAACTGGGCGCGCCGCGACATCAAGAGTAGGGAACCGAGCCGATACGGGCGGAGAGGCTAGATTTGGATCCTGTCTTAAGCATTGTATGCAAGCAAAATGGCTGCCACGCCCGGGGAGTCACCTGTAGCCCGGCGGATCCGCGAGGAGTGGCGGAGCTTTCTGGCCGCTACGGCAGGCCACACCACCACCGATAGCGACGTAGCACACGGCCTAATTCTTGACAGAGGCTCTAGCACGTGACTTGTAATACTGTGCTATTCGCGCCCCATCCGATCGTAATATTTCTAGGAAAAATTCTGTTCTATTATTAATACTTCTTAATCCTGTTCTAAGTTAACAAGTTAGTCAATCCTCCAGCAATAATTTGTCGTGTCATGTCATG